AACAGTCAATTATCTCACCAGTCCCTAAAGTTTGCCCTCCTCAAAACATTCAATCAGACTTGAGACCAATTGCACTTACAAGCTGTTTAGCAAAAGTACTAAACGGTTTTACAAACAGAAGACTGTTAGATCAGGTATTTGATTCTATCGACGCACATCAATATGCACGTCATGGACACTCTACAGTGCACGCACTAATTTATTTAATGCAAGCTACACACGAAGCTATTGATTCAGGTAACTGCTCTGTTCGGATATTTTTTGCTGATTTTACAAAAGGTTTCGATATCATAGACCACTCAAAATTATTAGATGAGCTCAGATCCTTCAACATCGATCAAACTCTCTTGTTTTGGATTCGTTCCTCTCTTACCAACCGGACACAGGCTGTAGGTGTTGGCTCCTCCCTGTCACCATGGAAGCAAGTCAATGGTGGCGTCCCACATGGAACAAAACTCGGATTAACGCTCTTTACTGTTATGATAAACAAGCTACTCAGTAATTGGCATATGCGTACGAAGTATGTTGATGACACTACTGCATTTGAGATCATTCCACGCAAGGAACTCCGTTAGTATGCTAGATGTAGTTGTCAGAGAAATCCATAATTATTGCATAGTACATAGGATGAAATTAAATCCCAAAAAATGTAAAGATATGTACTTAAATTTCATGAAGAATTCGATTCTGCAATGCGACCTATAACTGTTGGAAATCAAGAAGTGGAGCGGGTAGGAACTTAAAAGCTTTTAGGAGTTATAACTAGAGATGACCTTAAATGGAACACTCACGTTGAATATGTGACTGTCAAGGCAGCTAAGAAATTATACACTGTAAGGTTGTTGAAACGCGCAGGAGTTATGCCAGAAGACATGCTTAAGGTATACACTTGTAATATCAGATCGGTCCTTGAGTATGCTGCGGAAGTGTGGCAAGACATTCCCGCATACCTCTCTGATGCTATTGAATCCATACCAAAAAGAGCCTTAAAAATTATATTCCCAAATTTTAGTTATCAACAAGCCCTAGACCAGGCAAAATTGTAATTGTTGGTAGATCGTAGGATATTCGTTTGTAAAAAGTTGATGGCGGAAATGGGGAATGAAGACCATTCCATATCTTTCTTAGCTCCACAAGCTATAATAAGTTCTATACCTTATCAGTTAACATCAGGAAATACCAAAGCCACAACAACAATGAAAAGAACAAAAAGAACAAATGACTTTTTTACTTTTAGGTATTCGTAGACTTAACTATTATTGTAATACTTACTACAATTATTCTAATTCTTAAGACTTATTATTGTAAATAGACTTTATTATTGGTATCTAGTAAGATTCTTTTTAATATCCTTGTAAAATTACACTGTTTATTCAGTTTTTTAACTGCCAGAAGTGTTAATAAACTATCATCATCACGGTGATCAATATATATAATAAACTATCGTCATCACGGTAATCAATATTCTCATTTCACGCTTCACGATAAATAGCATGATGATAATAATAATAATAATAATAATAATAATAATAAATCTTACGTTTTTGAAAACCTTAACATCGTGAATTTCTTCTTTATTTCATGCCAAGCGTCACTTCCAATGTTTTTCTTCACGCGAGAATACCCGGAGAGTTTTGCGTTGCTCTGTAGACTTAAGTATGGCGAGTAATTTTTCATGGAAAAAACTGCGTTTTCTTTTCAGTTATCACGGATAACGGAAAATGATTTCTCAGATTCACGTAGCACGATTGGCATATCGTCCACAATTGACAGCTTTTAACTTCTTACAATTACGAGTCACGGCAATTAAAAACAGCCGATCACGTTCCGCGGTAAACCTCCCAACGGCCCCTCCTCAAACCGATAAACAACATAACTATTCGGTACTCTGCCTCCCTCAAACCACTCTTTTTGTCATTTCCTACAATATAGTAAGTAAGGAAAGCGGTCACCTCTATCAAGCAGTCATGATTAACTTTAAGTGACAATACAACAACCTGTTTGTATTGTCCTCCACCCGTATCGAAAGGTCATTTGGAGTAGAACCACTCAAATATGAAATGAGAATCATATTTCAAGTAAAAATTTAATTCATGTTTCTCTCCCAGAATCGAAGTTAGTAATATTTTTGAGCGTGGCTTTGTACATTAAGTGCCTATTCTATGGAACCCGTATCTAGCGATAAATCTGTATATTTAGTGTTATCCCACCACTTTTCTTGAGTGACCCCTTGATACGGGTTTAGCTATATTTAGTTCTTATTAACCGAGAGGGAGGTCTGTATAGGAGAATCTTGACCGAGGTCGCCAGTACAGACCGAACGCAGTGAGTCTTATATGACAATTATTTTTATATTCTTTGTGCCTTTTTTTTCTAGATCGGTCTAGATACCGGTCTAGATGGGAAAATGTAGACCGCTTTCAATATTGATTTCAGCCAATCAAACTCGTGAATTCGGAAGTTCCCAGTCCTTGTGAGACACAGCCATATAATAAATGGACTTTATTGCTTCCCAATTGCAAAACAAGTGAATATTTAATATTGAGCGAGTTTAAAATCTTGAAGCGGGGTTCCCACGCTGTCACGTGACTGATCGAGCGTACGTACGTACGTACGTGCCCTTTGTCATGTATGCTATCACGAAAATTTGAAAATATGGCGTCCGCGCGGCCGACCCTTAAAATTTTCAGGTCGGATTCATTCGTTCATTTGCGATCGAGTTAGACCTTGTGGAACTCAGAATGTAAGGTAATAGTGCTATAGAATACTCTGCTTGGAAAATAATGGATATCAATGTCTTAAAGGTGACAGAATAAGCTCTCGAGTCAAAGACACTACGATTCTCTTAGACGATGCGAATTATGGACGTAAAGTGAAAACCGAACTTTCGGATTTCAAGCAGGGCCTATCGACAATTTGACTATTCGATGGCCCGGTATATATTATGTTCGACTAACAATGTGTTAAAAAAAAAGTATTGTTTAATAGAAGATTTTGCGTCAATCGGAGTTTTATCAGAATTTTCAATATAACGCCGCGCAATTTCTGGCCTTGAAGGCAAGTAAACAACTATCTAAGCATGATGAATTTTATCGCGTGGGCTTTGAACACGTAAGAAATTCCTACGTTTTTCGCTTATAACAGCAAATCAAAAACTGTTTTGAATAAATCTGTCGCCCCGAAATATTTCTTGGTCATTTTAGTCTTGCTTCCTATTGATAGATTCCATGGAACTTGAGATCTCTTCACTCACGGAGAAATTTCGCGTATTCCATTTTGAAATATGATCCACATGTCCATTTGCACACATGCGATATTATTTAGCGATTTTTATCTTTCATCTTTATTTTTTAGTTAAAACGTAATATGCACCTATCGCTTTTTTCGCCGGAAATAAGTTCTTTAATTAGTCTTCTTTCACTTGAGCTTGTTTTTTGGAAAAAATGATTTTGAAAAATTTACTGCGCATTGTGTTTGCTTTCTTGGTTTCTCCAAAATTTTAACTTTTCACAGGCACGTGTTACACGTTAAGTGTCAATGGGTTTAATCTATACTGAATGAATTTTTGGCTAAAAATTTTTAATATATGTAAGGAAATTTTATTGCAAAATTTTCACTTATTAGGAGCTCCACTTTTTGGCTTGGCTAACTCTATATATTGTTTTAATCGGTCTGCTTCTTTACTAATGGGAGCAATTTTTCTTTTGGTCAACACAACAAAGTTATACGGCTCAAAGACGCCGACAGCTTCCAAACGTGAATCGAAGACGTGGCCCGAGGAAGAACCTGGCTTGACGCAAGAGTTCAGAAGTAAATCTTTTCAGTGTTTTGCATCCGAGTCCGAGCTACATCTGCGTCCGAGCCACTAGCAGAACATCGAACATTGCGACATAAATGCAATTTCCGTGTGTTAGCCAGCCAAGGCTATGTTTGGTCAGCTGTAGATTTTGCAGATGAACTAACTCATATACACTGTTCATCCTGCCAAGCACGTACGGCGCTTTCTTTTTCAGAAACTATGACTGAAAAGCGATTCTTCAGCGTAAGCGTCAATTACACGCAAGAAGCATCGTCCATGTAAAAGTGTACTCCACTGTGGAGTAAGAATAAAACAAGTCACTCATGATCGCACTGGCTCTTTCTCCCTCAGCTGTCACGAGGTTTATTCCCTGTCACGGATGAGTAGTGTCATCAGTTTCTCCTTATAAATATCCCGCCAAAATTGACCAATTACAGCACCAGTCACCAAGGTGACGAGCTTCAAACCTCAAGGGTTCTATTGCTAAACGTTTTCTTCAGTTCTTGCAATTGATTACCATTCAAATTTTTACTTTCTTCGGGCGAGTCTGTTGAAGTGAATTCGATAGCCGAGACAGCGAACGTAAACAACCAGTTGCGAGCTCCATCGAACAATACAACCCCAGTTAGGTCAGATTAGCTGATGACTCCAAATGTTAAATAATTCACAAGTATTCCAAGAGTCAGGCATCGAAAGAGGGCGGAATCAACTTCCCTACAAATTTTCCTTAAAAAAATGGATCATTTTGCTATAAAATTCAACATGTGGTGAATAGAAGATGAGACAAAGAAAGTGTTATCGGTGAAGGCAGGTTGCCGCTTTACAAACTTCACCATGGTACCATGAGGAAACAATATAGGTGGCAAACAGTCTCCGTCATTCTACTGCTAAAACTACTGTTGTCATTAATTACTACAGCGAAGGGTATACAAGATTTCTTTTTGTTTTTGTTGAGGATATTTCACTAATAATAACGGCTGTATTGATTTGTCATAATCCACGTGATGTTCTCGAATCTGCAGCTTCATCAAACAGTACAAAGATCCTACAAGGACCAATCGAATCCTGCGCACAGAGCCCGATTCGGCAGAACGTAACTCTTCGTGGTGGAATTAACGCAGGAAGCTTCAAGAAATTGGCTCAGTTTGTTGCAATGCAACTTTGTATTCGCTTGTGCTGCGAGGAAAAAGGTTGCGATGTCGCACTCATGTCTGGAAAAAACTGCTACGGAGTTCAATGCTTCAGTGAAGAATTGTGTACTGCTGTACCAGCGAAGAAAGCGCCATCTTCGTTGATGATTTCTCATGTCACAATAAAAGGAGAGGAGGGTAGGTGCAAGATACATACAAATTTATTCCAATCGCGAGTAAGGCTGTCAATGAAGTAGCCACAGAAATAAATCGCTTAGAAAAGACTCGTCGCACAAGACGCAGCAGGTTACTGAGATTTGGAAACTCACTGTCTTGGTTTAGTACCATGAATCCTATAAGAGCGTAAATCTGATACTTCCTTTGGCTTTCGTGATTCAGCTTTGAATGACTAACGATGCCCTATAAAATATGTCTGAAATTTTGACGACTTTTTGACCAACCAATCAGCCCTGCGTAAATACTTAGTGATCACCTGAGATTTTATACTTTTCAGTTTTGGTTGATTTTCTGTGGGCGAAGGCATCTCTCGCCATTAAGCTCGAGGCGTCTATTATTGTTTGCTTTCAGAGTTTTGCGTCCATATTTTGACCCTTCTGCTTTTAATCGAGCACTTTAAGCACTTTCATACCCCGTTAGACCTTACTAGTAAGTTTGATTTAAGCTTTGAGAAAACTCTGCGTAACTTCACCTGTCTAATAGTTTTATTTGCTGTCAGCTTAAATGTTTACAGACTTAAAAAGAATCGTTGAAATAATTTCCTCACGATTCGGAGGAGATTATCGAAGATTAAAGATCCTTGTTCAAATTTTGCTTAAATCCCCGTGTTTCAATCAACGTTCGCCTTTAATCTCATTCTTAGTGATTGAAGTTGAACCCCAAGTTTAAATGCCAGAGTGGAAAAGGAATTTTTCTGTAAGGCTGAAATCGTTACTTTGTTTGCGGAGCTGAGCCCCAGGTGTCTGAATTTATACCTTTCCTAGGTAACAGTCGTAGAATTCATCCTGTCCCGCAGAATCTAAAGTGTACAGAAAGCAAAGCAGAGGAAGGTGTGACCTTAAAAGGTGGAATTTCTGCTGGACACTTTACAGATGTAGGAACTGTGGAGAGCGTAGATTCCTGTACGCGACTTTGCTGCGTTTCAGAAAAGTGCGACTTAGCTCTGGTTATAAAAAGACATTGTTTCTTAGTATCTTGTTTTACTAAAGAACTATGCAAGACAGTGAAATCTCAGACTAAGAATTACCGACCTACCGTGGCATTTGTGCGAAGATGGGTCACAAATGTGACCGAGGACACAGGTATGTGCGTATTTTTAAATTTTTGGTACAGTATATTATTACAAGTCGCGTGAAGAGAAGAAGCAAAATAATAAACAAAAGGTGCGATTTGTGAAAAGAGATTGCAAATGTCATGACTATCAAATCCACTTTGTGTTTGTTATGACAATTTTCTGCCCTGTTACATTGGTTTGTGATATTTCATGTTGCTGCAAACAATGAGTTGTCGTAGCCATGCAACTGATATATCGTATGTCACGTCATTCGAGTAAATCAGTTTTCCGTGAGTGGGTAAAAGGCAGCATTTTGAATAAAGAAGCAAAGTCATCTTTACGGATTAAACAAATTACTATCGATATTTCATTCATGGAACACAAGGCCTAAATAGGAGGAAAAAATAGTTTTCATCTTGTGGATCTTGGAAGAAGCCTAAATTTTCATCAAGTGATTCACAATACGCATTAATCATTTCTATTCTAAGCCTAATCTTTCTGACAACTTTCTTTCTAACACACTTCTCTTCCACAGCTATTACGTTGAGCAATCTTCCAGCTACAAACTCAAAACTAATGTGCAAAAACAGTGACATTAAATACAACTCCACACTTAAAGGTGGAATAAAGGCTGGTAACTTCACGGATTTGGGTAAAATATCCGAGATATCGACTTGCATTCGTATGTGCTGCGGTAGAAAGGACTGCGACGTGGCTCTTATGTTAGAAGCGAACTGCTATGCGGTAAATTGTTACAATGAGGATCTCTGTCATCCTGTGCTTGCGCGCAAGTCTGGTTTGCTGACCAACTTGAGCCCACGGTTATCATACATAACAAGTCGAGATGAGGAAGGTGTGCAATAATTTTTTTCTTTTTTTAGATAAAGATTTATTTTTATATGTCACAAGTCTGCATGAGGCCAAGAAAAAAAATATAAGTCCCCACAAGGAATCAAAGTGATTATTTAAAAAAAACTCCATTGAAAATTGTTGCATTGTCTTCACGTCACCATATTCTGTTAATTTTCTGGTAACTTCTGGTAAATGTCATACTGAAACTGTTCAAAACAAATGTTTTCGTGCTTTATATGTACAGCTCTTCCACAAGAGATAGCCATTGGCAACGGCATGTTTTGCAAACCAAGCGTTGTATCATATGACGTCACACTCCGCGGTGGACTTTCAGCGGGAAAATTTACTCCAGTTGGTCACGTAGACAGTATGGAAGCATGCGTTAATTTGTGTTGTAAGAGAAATGCCTGCGATATCGCCCTGATGCTAAGAGACTCTTGTTACGCCATTAAGTGTGCCAATGAGGAACTGTGCGAGGAAGTGCCAGCACCTTCTTCTGACTTTTACCCCAGACTTTCCTATGTTAGAAAGGAAATCGGGAGTCAACACAAGAAAGGTGAGAAACATTGATAATCGATTGTGGATATGAGCCAGAGTAGATTGGAACTAAATATCGTTAGTTGTGCGTGAGAGTAATATTTTGTCTGTCTGCTCTTTGCGATTGGTATACAAATCTCACGTAAACTTTCTCAGCAAACCAGAAAGCGGAGAGTGGTCTACGCCAAAACAAAACAGCATGCGTCTGAAATTTAATGTTGAGGAAATAATTTGAAACAACGATTTAGTCATAAGTCGAAGTCTAATTTCTGTCTACATTAAAAAAAATATATATATAAGTGAAGCAAATAAACACGATAGAAAACAACCAAACAAACAAATAAAATAACCGGCAGCTCCCTCCTATCCTCATCCGCTGCCGTTCCGCACCCATCAAAATAATTATAAGTAAATAATAAGTAATAACAAATTGAGCTTCTTGTGTGTCAGAGAAAATTTATGTGCCATGACAAAAGCAAAGCTAACAGCATAAACTATAACAATAGCAAGATTTTATTTTAAGAATTTCATGGTAATTGGCTGTCTTGCCATGTAGTGTGCCAAGAGGCCAGTGAGCTCTTGTTCTCTGGATACTTTTAGTGTGGCAGGATCGCATTATCCTACAAAACACGACTTGGTTTTTCCAGTGCTGTATTCAGTAGGTGGTTCATTGAAGTGCACGGAGTTGTTTGCAAGCATCTATTAAGGTCATTCGCTTCCACAATAAAATGGAGACAGTGAATAGATCACGTGCCTCACTATGATTTCATTTCCTTCCAGAACATCCCCAGGTCAAGAGTGAGACAACACACCAAACTAACGACACCCGAGAGGACCTGGATACTAAGGAAGAGGGCTATTGCACAAACAGCGAGATTATGACAAACGTCACATTGCGAGGCGGGATTTCTACAGGACATTTTCGGGATCGGGGAAAAGTCCCAAATATGAGAGCCTGTGTTGAGATATGCTGCATCTCAAAAAGCTGCGATGTCGCATTTATGTTGAAAAACAACTGCTTTTCAGTCACGTGTTTTAACGAGAAACTATGCGAGGCTGTGCGGGCCCGATCATCGATTTACGCCCCCAGGATTGTTTATATTTACGCCAGGACAAAGAGCGAGGTATTTACTTCACAAAGTGTCAGAAAACGCCGAAGTGAAAATTTAAAAAGTAATAATTTTCGAGACCAGTTATACGACGTGCCTCTAACGGATTCAAGGCGTAAGTTTGGCCGAGACAGATATAAACGCCAAATGCATAGAAAGGTGGACAATAGAAATACGTAATATCATATGAACCATCGGTTTGATTGGCGTGGAGTACCTGAATAAGAGTCTTTTTTTATCCAAATGTGCTTCGTATAATTAATAAAAATAACGCGCGAGACGAGTACAAATACCACGCGATATTTGTACTCCAGACATATCCGCGAAATTGTCCCGCACTGAAATACTGATTTGGCGGGATAATAAATCTCTTGTTAAACGTTTTGATGTGTAGTATCGCTGAGTATTTTTACTCTACGGGTTCGTCAAAATGCGGCACAATTCGTAAAAACACTTAGCGATACAACACAACAAAACGTGTACAAATATGTATTTATTTCAGCTTCCATTCGTTACACAAGGATTGAAATGATCTCTTAGTAGGGCCAAAAACATTTTTATACCCAAGACCATATACATTTTTTAAAGGCTCCGGTCCACTTGGAGTTTTTTCATAAATAATTGTCGCACCCAAGCTAATTTTTCAGTAATATGTGTTAACAAGATATTATAAATTTACCTTATATCTTATATCTTTCCAGCATATAAATGATGTAATCACAAACGAAGAGTAAATACAGAAAATCAAACGGATTCACTCAGTCAAACTCATAACTGACATACCAAAAATAAATCAATTTTTCTTTCTTTTTTTTTTTTTTTTGCTCATTTACTCAGACGGTACTCCGAAAGTTGTATACGTTACCAATATATTTTGCCATGCAAGTGGACAGTAAAAACTATGGGTTCAAACAGTTCTCTTACATCTTTCCTCTAATGAACGTTTAGGTTTTTAATTCCTCTTATGCAAGAGCTTAAAAAAAAAAAAAAAAATTAAGTAAAATTAGAAACTGTTGTATCTAGCTCTCCTTTTCCTGAGCCGGTTTAACACTTTGATATAATTTTGTAACATAAATTTGTAAAGATACAAATTTTTTTAGGTTAAAATGCAAGAAATAAAGAAATATGTTGGGAATCACCTGTTCTACGTTACTAATATATATTTTTTTCTATTTGTGCTTCTATTATCTCATTTTATAAATTGAAAATTAACACAAGATCTGAATGGCCTCTAAGTTTCATGACTATAATCATTCTCTTCCCTTGCTGATACACGCTCAACGTATTGTTATTATTTAGACAAACTAGTTTGGTCGGTTGGAAACTGACACGAGAGGCTGATTTAGACAACAGTTACGGATGAAAAGACTATTGTAATTTGGATGAACACTAGTTTAAATGATAGAGTTTTATACGGAACATCGAGACAGCTTTGCAACAGCTATACATTCATTCTATCCTAATCATCATGCAAAGTGGAGCATTTTTAATTGATAGAAAGACTCCTGTCTTCTTCGCTACATACAACGCCCACCTGCATAACCTGCCATCAGCTTTGTCTCACACCGCAGGTCATTCACAAGAACACGCCCTACGCATTCAAAAGGCTTTGTTTGCGATGGTAACGCAAACAGAGGATGGTTCGCGATAGAGTCACCGGTCTGATGAACTTTATATTTACTACAAAAGGAAAATACAGGGTGGATATGGGCTTTTGTTGCATACGAAATGAGCTGAAACACGTGGAATGAGGAATTCTTTGCATAGCCTCACCTGGTAAATTTCACATCAAAGCAAACTATCTATCGCTGAGAAAAGCCTCCTCAACATTGGAAACTCCCGATTGGTATTTGGCTTTCAAAGCTATGGGCCTCGGAAAACTGTCGCTGTATTTTTCGCTGATTTTGCTTTTTGAGTTATCTCATGCTTCAACTGGTAAGTTCATGTTCACATTCGTTAAACAAAATTCGGTTCGTTTGACAATAATATTGCTTAAAAAGTAAGCTTATATTCTTCCTTTTAAATTACCTCTGGTCCCTTATCGATTAGGTAAAGCCATACACCACATGCATGCAATGTAGTTAGTGAATTAGGAAAATAGAATATGCAGAGATTGTTTTTATACAACTTTGTTTAATGTGGGAAGGACATTACTCTAGACAGCAACAAAGCTAACAATTTGGTTACTCAGTTTCGACTCAAAAACGGGAGTTGAATGTTTCGCGATATCCCTAACTCAGGAATTTGTTTTCACCATGCAGTTATAATTAAACAGACGTCGTAGTAACCCGGCTATATCTCTCTCTCAATCGTAGTTTATAATTACTGATTGAAATGTCTCCATATGTTGTTGTCACGACTGAATAATCGGAAACTTTCGAAATGCCGTTTTATCTCCTTAAGTTATACTGGGGAGTTTTGTGTAAAAGAAAACTAAGTTTTGGCTGTATAACAAAGCAAAATGAATAATTATCGGCCCACTTGGGAAATGTTATGCAAATTGAGAACCTTTAAGTCCTTCAGACCTGTGCAATGTGAAGGAAACTTGATAAACTGGAATTAAATTTTAGTCAAGCAATAACTAGGATTTTCATTAGTTTTGACCGGCTATAAAAAGTCATTATTTTTATTATATGCATAATCATGATTAACATGAATATTATAATTATTATAGTTTTTTTTAATTTTAGAGGAAAGCCTTGTAACAGAAATAACCAATGTCAAACCTCTCAAATGCCAACATGGGGCAATACTATCTAATGTCACACTTCGACATGAGCTGCGTGCCGGGAAATTCTCGCGACTTGGTAGGGCAGAAGACATGAAGACCTGTATCCAGATGTGTTGCGATAAGGACGACTGTGAGATGGCTTTCATGCCTGGAACTCACTGTTATGGTGTTGACTGTTTTAGCCAGAAACATTGTGAAATCACCACTGTTAAGCCCAGCAATGTCACAGTTAAAATTGCAGCTGTGCGCCCGATAGTCGTGAACCCTTCAAAAGATCAAATTGCAGGTTAGTACCGTATATTTTTTGTTTCAAACATGGCCCGAGCAGACTGAATTGGAAGTGATTGTATTCAAGACTTTGTATGTTCAGAATTTCATGCTAAAAGATTAAATTTGAGGCTGATAATGAGCCAAGATTTAAGGATTGTTTTGCAGTTGGTTACGACTTCGCAACGATGCTGCAACATTTCCTCTCAGCATTGCGTCACAAGGGCAAGGCAAGTTGGACTTGACCTCGCTTAGTTTAATTCCTCCTTCGTTGCTTAAATTTATGTGGGTATAAAGTCTACAAGAGAGCTAGATTCTACCTCGTGCAACGCTTGCCGCAACGACATGGGAATTAGAAAGATTATGAAGGCATTCCCTGGGATTTTTTTTTTACTTTCTGATTTCATTTTAACTACATACTTTCGCAAGAACTTAAATTCAAAGAGTTTCTGCAAGGTCACTTTCTCAGAAACCGGGAGGGAAAAAAAAAATAAAACAATTCACATGTTTATCCTGATCACTGGCCTACATTTCAGTTTCAGTAGAAGATCCATCGACTCAGGAGGAACTTCATTGCACTCAGAGTCCAATTTTAAAGAATGTGACTCTAAGAGGTGGAATAAAGGCGGGAAATTTCAGCGACCTTGGTGACGAGAAGAATATGCACATGTGTATTGCCCTATGCTGCGAGCGTAAGACTTGCGACCTGGCCTTCATGATAGGAGGAACATGTATTGCGGTAGACTGTTTCAGTGAGGAGCTTTGTCAAGCAGTCAAGGCGAGGCCCACAATATATGACCCGCAAATAGCGTTCATTAGGCGTAGAGAGCTCCAGAGGCCAGCGAGAAAAGGTAGCATTGCTCTCTCTAGAATCCTATAATTTTTAAGATAGATTATTTTGCCGCATTTGGCGGCTTTCGAAAGGTCCGACAATCTTCATCTTCAAAATCGCCTCCCGGTGCCGTTTAGACAGATGTAATAGTACTCTAGAAGAGTCAGAAGTCAACCGCCTCCCGGTTAGCTCAATTGGTTGGAGCGCCAGATTGTGTTGTGCAGGAGGTCGAGGGTTCGAGCCTCGGCCGGACCAATACTCATGCTCTTAAAATAAGTGAGCAGAATTTGCTACCTTTCTAAAATCAGAAAATGGATAGATATTCTAGTCTTCTCGGATAAACCGTAGGCCACACAATCCGTAGGCCACACCCTGTGGGGTGGATGTACTCCCCTGGGTGGGATGGATGGGTGTTGGCCCGAAAAACCCCTATGGGGAGTGGTCAATTAACCTATGTATGTATGTATGAAAAATGCTATCAACTATGTGTAAAGAGTTCGCACTAGAAGACATTGAGATTCGAGTGCCAGTAAGACATGATTTATCTTCGCACTCACAATTTAAGTCAGAGGTTATGAAACGTTTACGTGTCAACTTAGCACTGTTCACTCGGGACTGAAATCTCATAACTTTGACCGAGCGAAATATGGGAATTAGCAAGGAGATTTACATTTTTGAGCTAAGCTATCACGTATCCCACTTCTCTTCGCAGCGAACGTCCTCCCAACAGCACCAAGCTCAGAAATACCAACCATGAAAATACATGAGATCATCAGCGACAAATTGCCTCACCCCACCATACTGAAAACTAGCACTTGCTCGGACAGCAAAATCTACCCAAACGTCACTTTGCTCGGAGGAATAAAATCCGGAAACTTTACTTCACTGGGAAAGACTAAAAACATGCAGGAGTGCATTGGAAAAACGTGCGAACTGGGGAGTGGTGATTTAGCCTTCATGCTAGGAAGCTACTGTTACTCGGTCACGTGCTCAAGTGGTAGAGTTTGCCAAACAATTCCCGCTCAGCCTTCTAAGTTTTACCCCAGAGTAGCGTTCTTAAAGTGGGCACCAAAAATAAACGAGACAGGTATCGCAGTAGTGAGTTTGTATTTATGCCTTTTTATTGTAGAGTATTTTACAGCTGGGTGTCCAAAGTAACCTGGGATTTTTTTACTTCGCTCTAGGACATTTCCTAATAAACAGCAGCATCGAATGATAATAAAAAAAAGCAATCAGATGCGAAACCAAAACAAATCACGAACTGGCCAATCAGACCTGCACACTGCTAATCTGCTCACTCCACTCGCTATATATCACGGAAAAGACATCGATCAGGATAAACAATCTGACTGCAGCATTTTTGATAGTGCTCTGGTAGATTTTACTAAATGGTGTATTTTTACGGGGAATGACAGGAATTGTGAAGGCCTTAGCCATTACACTGGGATTTTATATATGAATGGAGCGCTTTCGAATAAGATAACCAAACAATATCTGGTTTATCATGTTTATACTACAATGTTTAATAGGTTTTTTTGCCGCACACTGGAAGCATCCCAGGCATATATTTATGAATGCACCACGAATCAACGTCCAGGTATTTAAGCAGTCGGGTGGACACAATTGAGCTGTTTATCTGATGTGAGGAAGGGGAGGGGGAAAAATTGTCAAGAGTAGCTGGGTAAAATTAAGTCTGAAACTAGGTAGATTCATTGGAAATAAATACGGTAAATGTTGTTCTATCTCAGAACTACTCGAAGACGAAGGCGCTGACTATACAGCCATTCCTAAATGTACTCGTAGCCACATCTTGTACAACCACACCTTATTAGGAGGTCTTAGAGCGGGAAACTTCACCCACATAGCCGAAGTGGATAGCATCGAGACATGCGCAGCTCTGTGTTGTGCTGAGCAGACATGCGACCTCGCCTTGGTACTTGGAGAGAATTGTTACGCTGGAGACTGTGCAAGTAAAGAGCTGTGTGTACCTGTACCAGTTCATCCTACAGCAAATAAAGGATCACAGATTGCGTATATCACCTCCAGGAAAAAAGTAGAAGAACCAGGCACAGGTCAGTACTAAAACGAAACCGCTGTTCTGATTTTAGAAGGCTTTGTCCACGATCTCATTCTCAATACACTTTTTTCTTGATGAAATCGCCTACGATAAGTATTTCCTTTGTGTCATCGATATGTATAGCCAGTCAGTTCTCCTGGCTGTTTCTATCATTTTCGTGTTATCGAATTTGAACAGAAATTTCCTTCAATTTTATACGGAAACTTTGTTAACAAGAGGGCACTTAATGGCTCATTTTTTAAAAGTGCAGACCGAGCAGGCCGAACTATCTTAATCGAGGAGTTTTCCACTCCCCTTGCTTTGCCGCAATCTTAGTAAGGAAAAACGA